CTTCCCCTCCCTCATAGACTTCTGTTAAGTTTCTCAGGATCCACATAAGAGTGAAAACATATGGTGTCTGTCTTTCTCTGTATGACTTATTTCACTTAACATAACACTCTCCAGTTCCATCCACATTGCTACAAAGGGCCATATTTCATTCTTTCTCATTGCCACGTAGTATTCCATTGTTTATATAAATATCCATTCATCAGTTGATGGACATTTAGGCTTTTTCCATAATTTGGCTATTGTTGAGAGTGCTGCTATAAACATTGGGGTACAAGTGCCCCTATGCATCAGCACTCCTGTATCTCTTGGGTAAATTCCTAGCAGTGCTATTGCTGGGTCATAGGGTAGGTCTATTTTTAATCTTTTGAGGAACCTCCACACTATTCTTATATAAACATTTTAAAGATATAAAATTCTAATCATTGCTTTCTTTTTTAACTCATGCATTATTGAGAAATGAATTGATATATATCTAAATGGTTGAGTATTTCAACATATGTTATTATTATTAACTTTAAATTAAGCACATTGAAATCAGAAAATATATTCTTTTTCATGGATAATATTTTTTATTATATTGTCAGCTGATTCAAATCCATTGTTGAAAACAAAAAAGGGAGAAAAAGACAAAACAAAAAAGGAATAATTAGTAAATAAGCATGGGAAAGTATCTCACATCTTATTTGATAATGAATATGATGTATATTTATAACTCAGTAGGCACAAATGATACATAATTAAAACAGCCAGTGTAGGTAAAAGTGTATTGTAATGAGCATTCCATTTTCTCAAAGCAACAGGGAATTTATAAAATTAAGTTTATATTCCTTGATTCAATTTATTGCACACATGCGTATATAAGAAAAATATCCTATCTGTTATACACAGCAATTTACTGAAGCTTTACCAAACTACCAGAAAAAAAAACAAAACAACAAAAAAAGAAGTCTTCTCACAAAAGGGAACTACAAAACATTCATTAACAGGGTATTTAGCAGTCATGTATAATGAAGTATGTTCATATAATATTAATTTGAAACTCAACATAAATTAACTGTGAATAAAACTACCCCCAAATCACGCATAATAATGATGGCAAAGTAACACAAAGTGTCAAGGTAAGAACATCAAGGTACTGTGCTTTTACTTTTTCAAAATTTTCTGCAATGTGTTTATCATGTGAAATTTTTAAGGAAAACTATTTCTCTTAACACATTCCAAATAATTAAGCGACCTCCAAACACCCCATTCTTTATTTCTTCATTCCTGACCATGACTGCATCAGTTCTAACCCAGTTTTTCTCTTGGAAAACAGCTACCTGGATGTCCCAATACTGCTTTAACCATCTCTTAGTGTCTCAGCTAAGAATGCCTGCTCAGTTCTGGCTGGAAACCACCAGAGGTCCTTGCTGCTTCTGAGACTGGGTTGGGTACAGCTGACAGTCTTGGTTGCTCAGTGGGGCTGCCTTAAGTTTGACTTGGACACCCACCTCTGGAAGTTCCTTAGTCATCTTAGGTGTAAAGCGGTCCTTGGCCCACTGCTTCTCAGAACAGAACGTCAGACATATCTGACAGCTGTCCCATTCTGCCAGAACATTTTATATCATTTTACTCCTCTGAAATTTATTGTTACTAGTCTGTGCCTCAGACTATAGTCTGTCTTGGTGAATATTTTCTGTGCACTTAAAAATAATGCTTATATTGCAGTTGCTGGGTCCCATCTTCTACATGCATTAGATCAATTTGGTTATTTCATTTAAATTTCCTATATTTTGAATATAGGAAAAGAATTAAAACAGATGTGAAACTCTTCAAGTGCAAGTGCTGATTTGTTTATTCTTCCCTACTTCTGTCAATTTTTATTTCATAGATTTTGAAGCTCTGATTTTAGGTGCATACACATCTGGGACTCCTATTTTCTTAAGGAGATATCTTTTAATTTTGACATGACCCTAATTATCTCCAATAATACACCATATTTTGACTCTCACTTTGCCTAATATTAATGAAGACATACGAGCTTATGCTCAGTATTTACATGATATATCTTTTACCATTCCTTTACTTTCAACTTTGTCTTTATATTTAAAGAATGTGTCTTATAAATGTCATATAGTTAGTTGGTTCTTACTTTATTTATCCAGCCTCAAAATTTGTCTTTTAATTGGAATATTTAGTCCATTCAAATTTCGTGTATTTGTTGATATGATTGGGTTTAAGTCTATTCACTTGTTTTCTGTTCTCTCCTGTGTGCTTTGTTTCCCCTCCCTGTTTTGGATTAAACCTGTATTACTATTTTTCCTTTCTATCTCCATTATTGGCTTTTTAGCTAATAAATTTATATCACTTAGTGTTTTCTCTGAGGATTATTTTACACATCCTTAATTTGTCATGGGCCATGTAGAATTAATATCCTACCTCTTTTCCTGTAACAAAATTATATTACAATTGTATAATACCATATTATATACTATTGTCCTTTGTGCTAATACTTTCACATATTTTACTTCCACATTTGTCTATTAATTCTTTTTTTAATGTTCTTTTAATTTTTTTTGAGAGAGAGAGAGGACGATCAGGGTAAGGGCAGAGAGAGAGAGATGGAAGATCCATAATGAGCTCTGCGCTGAGAGCACAGAGCCCGATGCAGAGCTCGAACTCAAGAACAGTGAGATGATGACCTGAGCCAAAGTCAGATGCTTAACCAACTGAGCCACCCAGGTGCCCCAATATTAATTCTTAAAGGATTTTAAGAAGGAAAAGAAAACACCTACATTTACTTACACAGTTTAGCAGTTTCAGTGCTCTTCCTTACTTCTTTCCTATAGGTGTGAATTTTCATCTGGTATAATTTCACTTAAACCTCAAAATTCCTTTATTATGTCTACATTGTTATAGATTATCTTTTCTGGATGTAGAATTCTAAGCTGATATTTTTTCCTTTTCACACTTTAAAGACATTGTTACATTATCTTTTAGTTCCCATTGGTTCAGGTGAAAAATCAGCTATCATTAATGTTGACATTTCCCTATATGCAATGTATCTTTCTTTCCTTAAGCTGCTTAACAGACTCTCTCTGTATCTTTGGTATTAGTGGTTGACTATAACAGACTTAAATGTAGTTATCTTTGTATTAATCTAACTTGCTGTGCACTGAGTTTCCTAGATTGGTGTGTTGGTTTTTTATCAAATTTGGAAAAACCTTCTCAATATTTCTTTGACCATTTTTCTGTTCCATTTTCTCTCTTCTCTCATTCTAGAACTGCAATAACATACACATTAGGTTGCTTAATATTATTCCCCAGAGCATTGAGCCTTTGCTAATTTTAGTTTTCTCAGTTGTTCAGTTTGGAAAATTTCTACTGACTTTCAAATTCATTAGTCCTTTCTTCGATTATAGCCAATCTGCTTCTGCTCTTAATATCATGCAATGAATTTTAATTCAAGTTTTTAAATTTTGAAGTTCTTGGATTACTATTTGATTTTTTAGCAATTTTCTTATTTTTCCAAAAATTATCAAACTTTTCAGTCAATATTTTAATCATATTCCTATAAATTCTCTAACATGTTTAATCCTAGTTATTTTTATGCCTAGTGCAGAAACCAGTGCAGGGCCTGAACTCTACGTTAGGATTAAGACCTGAGCTGATATCAAGAGTCAGATGCTCAACTGACTAATCCACTCAGGTACCCCTAATCCTAGCTATTTTTTTTTATTTATATATGAAATTTATTGTCAAATTGGTTTCCATACAACACCCAGTGCTCATCCCAAAAGGTGCCCTCCTCAATACCCATCACCCACCCTCTCCTCCCTCCCACCCCCCATCAA